TGCCCAGTACAAGTGGCTACGTTCTTTATCATAAGACTATAGGCACTTGCCTGTAGAGTGCTTTGTCATAAGTACACAAGTGCACTTATGAAAGGCCTTTCATAGGTGTGTCCTGTGTCTTTCTTTCTCATAATTAATGGTGTGCACTTTCATTAAGATTTCATTAGGCAATGGCCATTCATTGCTTTTTCATAATTAAACCTGTGCACTTTCAATAAATATTTCATTCACTGGGTTAGGTGTATTCATTGCCTTTTTCATAATTAATGGTGTGCACTTTCATTGAATATTTCATTAGGAATTTTGGGCGCTTTCATTGCTTTTTTCATAATTAATCCTGTGTGATTTCAATAAATATTTCATTCACTATGTTAGGTGTATTCAATGCCTCTACCATATCTAATGGTGTGCGCTTTCATTGAATATTTCATTAGGAATATTGGATGCTTTCATTGTACTTTTCATAATTAATGTTGTGCAATTTCAATAAATATCTCATTCCCTAGGTCAGGTGTATTCATTGCCTCTTTCATATTTAATGGTGTGCACTTTCATTGAATATTTCATTAGGAATATTGGATGCTTTCATTGTACTTTTCATAATTAATGTTGTGCAATTTCAATAAATATCTCATTCCCTAGGTCAGGTGTATTCATTGCCTCTTTCATATTTAATAGTGTGTGCTTTCATTGAATATTTCATTAGGAATATTGGATGCTTTCATTGTACTTTTCATAATTAATGCTGTGCAATTTCAATAAATATCTCATTCCCTAGGTCAGGTGTATTCATTGCCTCTTTCATATTTAATTGTGTGCGCTTTCATTGAATATTTCATTAGGAATATTGGATGCTTTCATTGTACTTTTTATAATTAATGTTGTGCAATTTCAATAAATATCTCATTCCAACTATTGTATCGTGGGAAATTTCTCCCAAAAAGGAAGGTACATGCCCTAAAAGGGTAATTGACACTGACAGACTACAAAAGTAATTTATAGCCTACAAAGTTTACTAATAGACTACAAAAAAGACTACAAAAGTTGGACATAGACCACAAAGGTCAGACAAAGACTACAAAAATTAGTAGTGTCTGCTTTTCTCATTACAAAAGTAATAGTGTCCGCTTTTTGAGACTACAAAAATTAGTAGTGTCTGTTTTTTCAG